TCTTATACATTAGTTTAGAACTCTATCCTATTTTTCCAGGATTCAAAATAAAGTCAAATTGAATTTATTTGTTTGCCGGATAGATAAATATTTATCAAATGGCGTATTGCAACAAAGGGAAATAAATCTTTCCTAATGTCCTTTAAGTCCTGTACGTTTCTGTGATTTTTTTCGGATTTTGCTGATGTCAGGTTGGAAATCATTCAAAAGTGAAATATGATTTAATTCATGATTAAAAAAAGGACAAAATGAGGCATAATTTTATAATAAAAAGCATCAAAAACATTTTTTTAAATTCAACTAATGACTGTTTCACAATAAACACCTTTAGCAAGTTTGATAATTAATTACCGACTTTGATATTTGCCGTAGCACGTGACTCTACCTATAAGAACATTTTTCTCATCCTTTTTAACAAGTTTTAGTCATCTTCTTTCTACTAAAGTCATGTGCGTTTTATACAGTGAATGTTTTCATAGTGCAAACCACCATGTATATGCCTCTCACTATGTATGTATGCGTCCGTACACGCACACACGTGTATATATATGTATATATATATATATATATATATACACACACATATATATATATATATATATATATATATATATATATATGATAAAATATAGTTTTAAAAGGTACGCTATATTTATGGGTTAAATTTTTCAATATCAGAAATAGAGCGTATATAAATATAAAAGTGGACACCCAAGTCAACACCCATAGGCGACAGTCTGTTTCATTGTTAAATGCAATCGTCAAACCAGAAACAGACTGTCGCCTCTGGCTGTTGACATCAATGTCCATATATATATATATATATATATATATATATATATATATATATATATATTTGTAATAGACGCCCCATTTTTATTTATAAAACAGTACGTATTGCATCCACTTGCCTGCGAATTCAGAAAAATCTTAGTAAAGAAAATATGTCCTTCGGCAGGATCGAACCAGCCTCCCCTTTGTAGTTCCTAGGAATTATATAATTTATCTCTCTCTCTCTCTCTATATATATATATATATATATATATATATATATATATATATATATATATATATATATATATATATATATATATATATATATATATAAAATAAATTTCTTCCTAGACTGTTATTTTCTGTATGTCTGCTTACGGATTGTATATCTCTGAGTATATATTATGTGTAACTGTGTCTTGCTTTGATGTTTATATTTCTGAGCAGATTGTGTATATGTGTATTTGTATGCCTGTGTGTGGACTGCATACGTTTCTGAGTGGCCGTTGTGTGCTCCTGTGTGAACGCAGTAAAGGATATCAATGTGAGATATGCAAATGAATGAATTCGTATTATATTTGTCTTCGTTTTTCATTCGGAAACTTGTTACTTTTTCTTTTAATTGGTAAGCTTATCTGAGTCTCTGTCATTTTAAGAACATTGTATTACTGTTTGCCTTTCGCAAGAATAAATTACCTAACGAGATTGTCGGATTTGCAGTACTTAAACATTTTCCTCTTGAATGGATTCCATTACAAGACTAAGGGGACAAAACTTTTCTGTGTATATTATTATTAGTAGTAGCATTTAAATACACACACACACTTGTGTGGGTGTAACTATTTTCCTATTCTGGTACAAGAACAAAACGTTGTTGCACCCTGTAAGAATTATTCTTTCTACGCTCGCGTTTTTTAGCCAGCGCGCCCGGGCACATCGATTCGCCCTGAAAGGTGACCAGGTGCACCTCCAGTTAACAGGAAAGTAATTTATGAATTATTTTCTTAGTTAAAAAATATTTTTAAACAGCTAAATCCATCAAACAAGTGGCTTCCATGTCTAAGCCAAGTGTTTGTCATTTAATATTTTAAATTGGATGCTAAACTCTTATAGTAAATGCATTGATGAGGAAATGAAATTATGTTTATCACATTAAAAAAACAGCCAAAGCAAACCAAGAACAGGTTTCCCACAAGCACTGATACGCCCCCAACTCTATTACATCTCAATTTTCATAAGGTTGTATTCATATAAAATAGAAATTTTATTGTAACCTAATTATGTACGATAATGGATCGTTTGAAATATAGGGGAGTAAGACAAGAAAAGCTGAAAATATATACAATGTATTTAAATATAAATTAGAGACCTGTCATAATAGATCATTCCATCTTAAATAATTAGAGACATGTCATTATAGATCATTCCATCTTAAATAAATCAACAATTTTTGCGGCAATTTTTAAGATTAACTTGAGATTTTTCCTTGTTAAAAAGTTGAATAATTTTAACACATTCAACGTTATCGATAAAAAATAAATCATTTTATATAGTGGTTTTTTCTTTTTTATTTTGTAAAACAAATTTAAGGATTTAAACATTAAAAAGAAAACCCAATAATCACGTCGAAAATGTTTAACCTTTTAATAGTCAGTTGTGCTTTCTTAGTTTACAAGATTTATAAATGGAGGTAGATAAATCAAATGCTGATAAGATAGGGGCACCTCGAGGTGGTGTAATGGTTAGCAAGCTTGTCTCGCTAGAACAATTACAACTGAGAAGTAAGTTTGATCCTCACTGGGTGCCCCCATACTTTCGGCCTTGTGCCACATCTGAGCTACGCTTGGAAAATCACGATAAGATAGCGAGCGTCATATAGTACTGTCCAGACAGGAGAGGTCTAATGAATGCTATTTTACAAAAATTAGACATAAAAATTCCCTATTTATTTACGGGAAGAATGGTCAATATAACTAGTTACAAGTAATGGTTAACAAGCCAGTCTCGCAAAACAGTATTGTGGGTGAGTTCACTCCAGTTTTAGTGTCTTACATTGGACTTGTGTTAGTAGAATGTGAGCTTATACCAAATTACTCTTACGTTTTGAAAGTAGATAGTAAAATGAAGAACTTTAAACAATATTGATTACAGAGTTCAAAGTTAATTTATTTTTCACCCAGTTCTTCTATATCGCGGCTACATTTAGTTAGTCATCAGTGACAAAAAATATTCAGCTAATTAATTTCTGTAGGTACATTATAGTTGAGACGATCACCTTTCGTAAAGGGCGATAACTCTTGAAAGACCGTCACGCATAATGACAGGCGCAATAAAAGGAATTATTATGCTAACTGCATTCGTATCTCGACGCTCTGCTTGTGCTATAAACGAATAGAAAATTTACCGCAAAACACAAACACACGCGCACAGCTCTCTTCTCGCTTCTCTTTATATACATGTCGTGATCCGCAGTTTTAGCTTTCTCCCAGTCTAATCGAAGCTTAATCAATAACCAAGTATATCGCTTACTTACAATACTATAATGACTTTATTCCTCTTTGGGTGCTTCAAACTTGTGCCCTTATTTCAAACTTAGTTTATAGCTGAATCAGTGTATAAACTACTCTCGAGTGGTTTGTAACACATTAAAGGACAGAGTCGCAAGGGAGGAAAATTATACTGAAAAGTGCCCAGCCCTGGGGAACAGCTGCACAAGGGCGCGCCCTCTCATTACACCAGAAACAGGAATCAATGCTCGCACTGAAAAACAGCGCAGCCGACGGTTGCAGGGGCTGCAGGCAATTTTTGTTCTCGGGTCCCCACCGTCTTAGTGGGGAGACAGAGTAAATACCTAGTTTATATCTGAATAGGCTTCACCCTGAGTAAGGGTCCACTAGTTTGTGTCACAGAACAATAATACTCTAGTAAGTAACCCTGACTCATACCTTTGAACCTTACAAAGATCTTTGATCCAGCTTGTCCTTCAGTTTACATATTGATTATATTTCAGCAAGTAGGTATTTATAGGTTGGGATTGCATTGCATTAATTTATCTATATTGCCCAGTGTTTGGATGAAGACAAATGCGTTCCACTTCTTGTTTGGAATTCAGAGTTGTTATTCTAAACGAAACTGCAAAAAAAGGCTTTAGAGCTATCCAGTATTTAACCTATAGCTGGGGGTAGAAATAGATTCATATTTTAGCGGGCATTTTAGCGAAAGCTTTCACTGCCGGGATTTGAACCAGAATCACCGATTCCATTTTCCTAACCATTAAGCCACCAACACCTCCTTTACTTATAGATGGCAAGTAAATACGATATGGTGCAATGGTTGGTTCGATCGACATGAGGTCAGTTAAAATAGCAGCGTGTTTCTCATTGGCGACAGTGGTTGGTGCAAGGGTCAGATTTAAGTTATGATTTTTAAAATGGGCGCTGAAGATAAACAGCATGCCTTAATTTGGAGAAATAAACGCTATGAAATTTTGCTAAACACTCGGCTACCCGATACACACTTTATTGGACGTTGCAGAGGACTGTAATTATTGGCCTGTGAAGAAAAAGCACATTTGCATAAAATAGCAACTGAAGCGTGACAGGCCAGGAAAAGCACATACACTCACAGGACTATATATATATATATATATATATATATATATATATATATATATATATATATAATTGTAGAAGGATGTAAAGAAATATCTATGAAAAGATATATCCGTATGAAGTTCCAACTCAGTACATTTCCATAATAGAACACAATTAAAGCATCTTTCATTTTCTCATTTATTACATTAAGTTATTAAATAGTAAAAGCTTAAAAAGCAATCACTGGAAATCCATATCGATACGTGAGATTGATTATGATGCCACTCGCCTAAGAGCTATAAATCCGAAATATTGTCATGTTAAAATAGTGGGTCCTTCATATCATTTTTTAAAACAATGGATTGATTGATTGATTTGTTTCTTACGGTTTATCAACCCTTTGCAGGTTATTTAAAGCCAGAAAATATTTTAGAAGAATGTTTTTTGGAGATAATAATGATTTAGTAATACAAGAATTACTAATTAACCCATAGATGTGGGGAAAGAAGTTGATTCATACCTTTCCTAAGTGTATTTGCACGTCAGTGAATATAGCAAACCCAACCCAAACTGGAACTTTTCTACAATTAATAATCCCGTGTCAATATCCATTACACCACGTGCACATCCAAGCTTACAGCACCTGGTATTCTTAAACGGTCACCCATCTTGGTACTGACCAGGTTCGACGTTGCTTAAATTCGTTGATCGCACGGGAACAGGTGTTTCAATGTGATGTGGCCGTTAAGCTACGTACACATACGCGCGCGCGCGTGCGCGTGTGTGTGTGTGTGTGTGTGTGTGTGTGTGTGTGTGTGTGTGTGTGTGTTTTACGCAAGAAATGTTATTTGAACCAACTATTATTAATGACAACAGACGTTTTATGTTAATTTTACTGATCGACTTTTCCAAATTCCGTGAAAATTTGTCCGGAATTCATTTTGGGAGAAATATGGTCCAAGCTTAATTTGTTCATATCTATGTCCACATCGAAAGCTGTTCATCTTCATCTAAAGATCAATCTATCTTAATATCTTCTTTCGAACCTATCGGCTTTTAGATAGATAGATAGATAGATAGATAGATAGATAGATAGATAGATAGATAGATAGATGTTTCAGGTTTTCTTTTATCATTTAACCTAAAACAAAGCAATGAAGCCACTTAAACGCAAGAAGTTTCTGAGTGTGAAAGTATGTGAGAAAAAGAAAAAAAATCATTAAGGAGAGAGAACAATAAAAGAGAAGGAATCGAGTAGACAGATGAAACGATTGACATTACAATTAATTTTATGAAGATCAAAGTTAACTGGGAACTAAGAAACCAAAAGAGAGTTCTATATATGATAAACGCGAAAGAAGTGTTAGCATAGAATTTACGCTTACATTTAGCTATTTCAACTCTAAAATGAAAAGACCTAACTGCCAATCGAGCACGGTATTTAAATTCTCAAAATCTAGGTAGGAAAGAGATACATTTTTTTTTTGTTTTTGTTTTCTTTTTTCATATTTATCTCCGTGTCTTTCTCCTTCCTGTGTGTGCATGACCAGACTGAGTGGATTTTTTTTTAGATCTATCTTAAACTATTAATGCACCGTCCCACTTTGGGGACGATCAGCATTAAGAAATTATAGGTAGAAACCTATGATTAATACCAGATTTTTATTCTTATAATTAATTCTGGGTTTTACAATAGACATTTGTTGGTTAATCTGTTCATATCTATCTCAGTCCCTCTCTCACTCTCCTCGATGTGTGTATGATCGGATGAAGTTGATTGTTTAGACGTTTATTAATCTGTTCATATCTCTCTATAGATCTCTTCCAGTCTCTTCCTATCTCTCTGCCTGCATTAGTATATATCTATCTATCTATCTCAGTCTGTGTGTGTAGAAATAGACTAACTAGATTGATAAATATCAAACTATATTCGTACACAAATCGTCAGAAGATATCAACCATGAGAAAGTCAAATAATGTCTCCTTTTCGAATTGCCTTTCGTTTATAAAGATGTCGTCATTGTTTGTTTTTTCTTTGCGTTTTTTTATTCTTCTTTTGATTATCTTTGGATTCTAGCCGAGACTTTTGATCGCAAGAGAGATATTATGGTGTCACCTGCCTCGTCAATCAAACGATTGCTTATTTACTTGTATTTTCGACTGAGGTTTTCACAGTCATTCCTGACTTAAAACGTTCTATAAACGCAGTCTTCCGACCTTACCGATTTTTACCAAATTTGGTTTCGTACCCTAAAAGACAATCTGAGTTGTAAGACCAACACCAGAATTTCAAACGGAAAAGATCAATCATATTCTCGAAATGATCTACAGTCAGCTCGGCCGTAGAAGAAGGAAACTCCCAAAGAAAACTTACAACCACAGTTAGTCTACTCGAACTAGGCCACAGTACGAAAACCCCTTGTGCAAGTCAGTAACGTGTATTCCGTTCTCTACATTAAAACGTCACTGGCGCCGGCCCAAGGGCTACTCCACATACCTCCCGCAGAAGTTAGAGGTCCTGTAACAATTTTGACACTTTGCCTATATTTCGTTCGAGAATGCAAGCTATAGGATGACGAATGTGGAAAAAACACGGCCACCTCACACACATACACACGATGAAAAAAATTACTGTTCACTTTTTGAATGTAAGAATCATTGCTGCTAAAATGTATGCCTTAAACAGTGAAAAAAATCTTTTTACTTCAGCATTGCAAAATATTGTCAGTATACAATAGGAAGTCCTTCCTATCATTTTGTAAACCATGGAAGCTGATTATTGGTATCCATTTCATTTGAAAATAGCCTTGTAGCATATCTTGATGGAGAGAAGTGGATACATGCCTTGTCCAAAGATATTAGTGCAAAGTGAACACAAACTACCCTCGGTTTGTTGATTCCATTTTTGTTAACCGTTAAGCCACAGACACACACACACATCGCAGACAGCGGACACACAAACACACATATATATATATATATACATATATATATATATATATATATATATATATATATATATATATATATATATATATAGTGTGTGTGTGTGTGTGTGTGTGTGTGTGTGTGTGTGTGTGTGTGTGTGTGTGTGTATATATATATATATGTGTGTGTGTATATATATATATGTGTGTGTGTGTGTGTATATATATATATATATGTGTGTGTGTGTATATATATATATATGTGTGTATATATATATATGTGTGTGTGTGTATATATATATATATATATGTGTGTGTGTGTGTGTGTGTGTGTATATATATATATATAGCAATTTGTCATATCTTCAGAATTATTCTGAAAAAATATATATAGATAATATCATTGGTCAATTATATATATATATATATATATATAAACTTCCAAGAAGATACAATCTAGGTAGAACTCAATATCCAGGACAGAGTAAGAATATAATATAAAAGGCTGAAACACTAATATTCCATGGTTATAATTTATTACATTGGAATCATAATCACGATCCAATTCATCAGATCTAAAAGTGAACATTGAAGTCAACACTCAGAGGCGACAGACTGTTTCATGCTAAACGCAATCATCAGGCCTTTCAGAAATGTACTGCTGGTAATATTTTTTTTTTCAAAATTGTATTGCTTGTATTAAAACTTATTTTTATACTATCTTAGTGTTTTGATACCTTTGGGGGCGGGGGGTTAACTGTTTATCCATAGCTGTAACCCTGACAAGTGCTACCACCCCGGGTCAGGGTGGACCTGGGGAACACCAGCAATTAAGAGGTGCTTCCACGCTCCTCAAAATCTTCAGATCAAAGGCCTTGCTGTCGGATGTAATCTATCGTCTTACCCAGGACGCCGATGTAGTTTATCATACCCAAGACAGACAAGATTGTGGAAACTAATATGAATTGTATTTATTAGTTATTTCTTATATATATATATACAATATACTTTAACGTCTACCGAATATATAAGAAATTGTCAAAACGAAACGTCGGTAAGCACCGATAATTCACTTAGTTTGACAAAAGGCGATAGAATGAGAGCGTGAATCGAATTTACTAAACGTAATCGGCGAACCGGGCTTGCTAGCCATTGTGCAATTTGCGGACGACTAAGCTCCCAAAATAAATCGAGTACACCTCATCGTGGGGTTAGCAAGTCATTGCTACGACGTCGTGAGTTGGATCTTTACTGCGTGTTTTATACTTGTGATCTTGTGCCAGACTAACGCTAAGCTGCATGAATAATTATAAATCGTGAAACTTAAGTGGTTTCACTCGCTATACAAATTATTAAAAGAAAGACGTTTCCATTGAGTGTTCATCGTGTATTCTATGATGTAAGATTTGAATGAATTCTGTAAATGTATTTAATTCTTTGTGTTCTCGCTTGACAGAATGTCTTACAACATCACTTGAACGAAATCTCCAGCTCTTAAGGAATAACAGACGTATGTGTATCTGTTTTTGTGAACACCATTTTCTTCCACACCTCCACACCCTGACGAATGGATCAGAAGTTTCATCGAGAATGATCTTCTTGGTCTGTTCAGTTCAAACGAAGCCAAAAGAGACAAAGATGAGCCGCCAAGAGCTAGAGACATGCCTATACACACGGGCGTGTATGTATATATATATATATATATATATATATATATATATATATATATATATATATATATATATATGTGTGTGTGTGTGTGTGTGCGCGCGCGTTTTAGGAATGTGACGGAAGGTACCCCGAAATGGAATCACTACTCTTATACAACACGGCTAAATGTGCAGAATTAATTTCAACTTCACCCTCCGCGACGCGAATGAGTCCGAAATTTTATTGTCGATAACTCCAAAACGGTAGATTTTATCAAAATTTCTTTGCTATTTTCGAATGAAACATGGACATTTACACCTAAATGGAACTATTCGGGAATTTTTTTATTAGAAACTAGGCGTGGGACTTGAACTTCAAATTACCCTTTTGAGATTCCGTGTTGAAATTTGTTCTGTCACCCGAGAATAGAAGCACGGAAGATTAAGGCCTCCTTGAAAATGGCTGAAAGTACTTGGTGCAATCACTACACCAGACAGTTTCTACATTCTTTGCGTCCTCATAAAAGAAAAAACTGTTAGAAAACCGAAAAGACTTTCTTGCCCGTCACATTCAATGAAACATTTATAAAAGAAAGTTTGCTACCCAAGTATACAGCAACGAGGATAGAAATGCTGTAATAGACTAATTTTGATCTGAAATTTTCACTGTATAATGCTAAATTGTCGTGGTTAATATTCACCGCTGAATTAGATCATATTGAAAACTGGATATTTTGGCTTAAGTAGAAGCTGTTTTTTTTTCGTCACCAAGCTAGAGAATTTTTGATGTTCGTACGTATATGCGAGAATGTGTTAAACAATTCTAACCCCAACCCAATATCTGATGAAACAATCAAATATTTGGGTGGGGGTGGTCGGAAAGAACTTCTTGGTCGACTCACGACATTTCATTTTCAACACACACACACACAAATATATATATATATATATATATATATATATATATATATATATATATATATATAACTTCTGATACAATATTTACAAAGGTCGAACAAAAATACCAAATCATGATATATTGAGTCATGTATTTTTTAGGAACAGCTTAGTTTGACACAAGGCCATATAAAAGATGCAAAACAGTCTTGCGCTTATCTTGCCTTGTGAAAACTTTAATTTTTTAGGTAGATGGCTTACACATAACAAAATTTTCACGTTATATGTTTTTTTTTTTAATCAATTCACCCCAAGCAAGGCGACAATGCCACTAAGATGCAATGAGCTACTGGGAGTGAAAGAGAATGACGAAGCATTAGAAGGAACCGAAAATACAATCCTAAACAGGAAAAAAAAGGATTAATCTCTACTCCTGTTCAAAAGGCTGGGGAGGCGTGTGAACAGGGCGATAGGCAAACCTGTCTACTCCTAAAGTCTATGAGAAATAGCTAAGTTAGATGAAGCTGATTTTTAACGTAGAGTTCAATTCCGGCCGAGTTCACATTTTCACAGTGTACTGATAGTCTTGAGGCCCATTCCACCGCCCCCACGCGCCATCAGTTATGAATACATTAGCAGGGCGATATGGCCTCTTTAGCCTTGAGAAGGTACCCAGTCTCGGAGACAGAGATCTCTGATTTCAAAATGTGCAGAAGTCAACAGGAAACCACTTCATTATTAACCCCCATATTAAAGTGACCTGTGTCATAAAAAAAATACTACGCATAAAACTCTACAACTGACTGCAGATTCATTATAAAGTTGATTCAACCCACGTTGCATGAATGCTGAGAAAGTACAGACACAATAATGCAATTTTACAAGTAGAGAAATTTAGTGACATGTTTTAAATTACGGACAGACATTTATGGATTTTGGTAGGTAGTGTGATATCGAAATTTTCAGTTCGATAACGACATTACTGTGTTGTGCTGTTTATTGATGTGTCAACTGTTGGGTCATTGTTTTTACTGTGTCATCAAACGCATTATTGTGTGGACTTTGCTTCTGGATATTTCTGGCGAGATTATTTCTTCGTAAATCGATCTTTCAGTTCCAGCCATTCCTACGTCAGATTAGAGTGTATCTTGTAAATAGAAACATTAGTGTTTCCTTCCGATTTTATTCTTGCTCACCGAATTTCCACTCAACGGATTAATTAGAGAATCTCGCTGAAGGTCCAAGCGACAGCAAGTTTACTAAAAAACGATACTATTCCTCACAGTATCTTATTATAACTGTGCTTGTCCCTCTCTTCGTTAGTTCGCACGACCGTTACGCCCTGCCAATTCCCCATAAATAATGGATTATTCCGTTTTGATTGCGTGGAAAGAGAGGAAAAAAAATTACTTTATGAAAGGAATAAAGAAAGAAGCAAAGATAGAAGTTTTTAAAGGTCGTTTAAGCTAAATGGAAAAAGTTGTGAATTTCAAATCTTTTCATTTGTATCCCCTTACTTCTTAAAATAACGACCAGCATTCATATTTATGATTGTTATTGCAATATTTTGTTAAAGTTGGTAAGCTCAAATCGGTATCGATGCGATAGGGGAAATTCTACTGATATTTTTTTATCGTAGAACTCATCATCGGTTTATTCAAAAGTTAAGTGCGGAAGAACATAGCGGCGTTATTTTTACTGATCTTACTCGTCTCAGCTTGCCCCAATTACTGAGCAAGAAAACTATACTGCATGCGCAATAATCAAGGCAAGAGATTATTCCACTCATAGCTTTTCCCGCAACAAAAATATGCAAACAACGCCAGTAATGGCTGCTACAACGCGACTGACTCCAAAATTTTAATGTCGATAACTCCAAAACGTTAGATTTTATCAAATTTATCAAGTCATTTTCGAATGAAGCATGTAGGTTTACACCTAAATGTAAGTATTTGGAAAATTTTTATTATAAACTAAGTCCGAGTCCTAATCTGCAAATTGACCATTAACAATTTTATATATATATTATTTATATATTATATATGCGCGGTACTTATTGGAAAGCGCTCAATATCATTGATAGAGTTAATATATATATTTGGATTGGTGTGAGTTTGTGACCCCAGGTTTCACGCTATTTGCGATCGTCAGACAAACTCTGGGTTTGTCTGACGATCACAAATAGCTTGAAACCAGGGTCACAAACTCACACCAATCCAAATATATATATATATATGTGTGTGTGTGTTCAGTAAGTGTTGCTAGTTATTAGTGATCACATTCGGATTAGTTTTTTGCAGTAAGAATAACTCACTGATAACATGAAGCAAAGGAAATAAAAATTGGAACAATTTATATTCATTTTTGTAATTCCAATGTCATAAACAATTTTACACTATAAAAATAAATATGAAATTATTGAAATTAATACGTATTTTAAGTGTAAGTTATTAAAAGTGTAAGTTATTAAAAGTTATTAAAAATGATTTAGCAACAAAAAAATCACTTAACTCGTGTTGCGTGCAGACATATTGTTTTGAGTTGTTCGTTAATTTCTCAACATATTGATGCTTTCGAAATTCGGCCGATCTATGTTGCTTGTCGGAAAGAAGTATTTTTAGAGCTTCTTGTATCTTGGCATTAGTTGGAATCACTTCTGAAATTTCTTCAAAATTTAGTAGATTCACTTCGTTTAATTTAGAATCCACATTGGTAACAGTTTCACTAGATTTACCAATAAGAATTCATGGGATCGATGTTCTCATTAGTAAACGCTGATTTTGCAATATACTGTCTGTTTGCAATGATTTTCGAGGCCCAAGCGCCACCCGAGGTAGAGGTTACAGAATAAGAGCCACCACCCCGAGCAAGGAGATAATGCCACAAAATAATGCCACCGGAAGTGAAATAGAGAGAAGAAACTTTAGAGGGATCCGGAAACCCAATCCTAAACAGGAAACAAGAGATACACACCTGCTCCTGTTCAATAGATCCGGGAGGAGTGTGAAGTGAATGAGAGACAAATCTTTTGATTGAGGAAAAAATGTAAACAGTAAATAAAAGTTCAAAGATTAAGGCGGAGACGTTAGAAATATAGAGTTGGAGTAGAACCGGGGAGAAGTGTGAACCGAACTTTTTTTTTTCTTTTTCTTCTAATTTTACACTATATCGGCAAACATTATTTCTAGAAAAAAAATAAAAATATTCAGAAATTTTTCTTTTAATATCTTAACTTGATTTTGATTAAGCGTACAAAGATTATATTCGAGGGACATCAGGAGATAAATATGTCAATCAAGAAGCGTTTGGATGTTAGTCTATTATCGTTAACACAACCATGAGGGTGGAAGGGGTGGTGTGATTTTTATTAGGAAAAGTTTACCTTATGTATATCTGGAAATACAATAAGAAGCTTCTATATTCCCTGAGATTACAGTTATTCTCGTGTTCCACATTCTTTTATTTTTAGATGTACGTGTGACTATTTTTAGAACACCTTGGATTTGTTGATGTTCTTATTTTATTAGTACTATATGACGGTTAATTTGTTTACAGTTAATCGGAATGTTTCCGCAGCCAAATCGAAAAAAACCACGTCCATGACCAACGGTCTCCCAGGATAGTGAGTTCTAATCTTGTCGATGGTTATTTCTTTTTTTTCCGATCAATGCCGTCTGTTCAGAAAATATCATGGTAGAAGAATATAATGATCATATTGTTGTAATAAAATGCAATAATGAGACGGAAGAAAAACCTTTCCGGAGTTAATAATTACAAAATTAATTTCTGAAATTATGAAAACTCATAACTTTTTACAATGATAGTAAATTCTCACAACTCGCTCTTCCTCGGTAATCCGGCATCACTTTTCGTCTGATCCTCATGGTTAAGCCTTATCACTACTTGGATGGGGGGCTGCTTAGGAACGCCAGCTCCTGGATCCTGTTACTAGTTTAGGAAATACATTTTCCTCGGCATTCTCTGAGTTTTGGCGCAAAAAGAATCTAGTAATCCTTACTGGAGATGAAATGACAATAATGTCCCAATACTTCATTATTTACATCGGTAGTCATACTGATTTTTGTGTAATACACTGTCTGAATATTTTCTTAACCTCCCAATTGTTCTTACCTTTTGGAAAGGGTTCCTGATAGATAGATAGATAGATAGATAGATAGATAGATAGATAGATAGATAGATAGATAGATAGGAACAAATTGATCGATCGATAGATAGATAGATTTAAACAAATTAATCGATAGATACATAGATAGATATGAACAAACTGATAGATATGAACAATTCTATCGATAGCTACATAGATGTGCACAAATAGATAGATAGATAGATAGATAGATAGATAGATAGATAGATAGATAGATAGATATGAATAAATACATAGATATGAACAAACTGATAGATAGGTAGATAGATTGAGATGAACTGACTGAAACAGATATATATATATATATATATATATATATATATATATATATATATATAGATAGATAGATAGATAGATAGATAGATAGATAGACAAGACATCCAACTCAGGATCATGTAACTCATATTGCAATTCTGATTTTTCCTATTTAGATTCTCATTTTCTGAGTTATAAATGTCTACAATTATTTTGCTGATAATTGCAAAAAAAAAAAAGCGATCCACTTATGTATATTTATATATTTATCCCAGTAATATAACAATTATTTCCCAGTGGAGAGCAGTCAACAGGTCCGAAGAAAACTTTATCTCTGAAATTCATCAGTAGTTCCGGGTGAATTTCCATGACAGACCTATGTGGAAAGAATTTATAGTGGGAAAATTGATGCACTTTGGTAATCCCACTATCACAGTCTGCAGAGTCTTTATCCTATAGCACGAGGAATCGTAACAACCGCAGGCAGAAGATGACCAGGACTTCTAAGTGTCACGTCCATGCTCTGATGAACTCCACGTAACTTGCTGTCACCGCCTTCATGGCCGTAAATTTGTAAGAGATCTCTTAAAGCCCACTCTGTCAAGAATCAGGTTTCACGTGCAATAGGGCTGACAGACCCGAAATGATAGAGGGTTTGGACCTGTCGATTACCCTCACCTGGTTTCCTTGTCAATCGATGCGGTTTTACCGGGGTGTGGTCGCTGTTGTATGTAAACAGCTATTTGGGGGCCACATGTGAGTTCGGCGTCAGGTGGAAATCAACGTGGATTAACTACTCCCAAGAGAGTACGACTGTTTCTCCGTCAGACGTTTTATCCTTCCCGACATTTCAGTAACTCCTTTTACATACAAAATACTTTTAAATACAAAATACTTTTAAATACAAAATACTTTTAGCATTGTCGCGAATAGTTATTTTGGAGGATTTATATTTTTTCATGTTTTGGAGGGAGGCTATACCAACAACAGATACGGTTATTTCTTGTATTTTGTTCACTTCCATATTCTACGCTTTCTTTAGTCCTCCAACTAGGTTCTAATAGTTGTCTAGATTTCCGTTTCATTCATTTATACCATGTGCTCCACTGGAATATCCATATTCTTAATTTCAGAGATCTTTTGTTCTTAACAGCCACGTACGGTCACCTGACTTGTACAGAACCATGCTTTTTTATTTCAAGGTTCACTGTCTCTTTAAGCCACACTAACAGAAGTACGATTTATTGCATGTATGTGTGTGTTTATTTAATGTCTCCCGTATTAGAAAGATAACAGCGAATTTCTCATCGGCACGGGTATACCGTTTTCGACCCCAGGTAAAGAAAAATAGGATTTCGAATGCTAATTTTCCATAGAGGCCTTCCTCTATTATAAGCTGGTGCAATCTTGTTACCATTTGGCTTTGTAACGAACAAAACTAATTAAATGTGGATTGATCACGACACGTATGTTGTTCAAGACCATATTTTAGACGCTGAATTTCGTATTAAATGTGACTCAATTGAGAGTGTCGTATCATATTCTTCTTATTCACGCAGACGGGCACGTTATATCGATAGAATATTAATCAGAAGCCTATATACCGAAGGTCACTTCATTTTTATTTTAGGCGTATTTATTTATTTTATTTTTGCAAGTCAAAATTGGGTTGCGCTCTTGAAACCGGAGCTTCCTCAAGGCCAGGAAATACAATCACTAATCAGAATATTAGAAAGCACAGTGAGGGGAAAAAATAGAAAGAAAGAAATTAAATCTAAGAATTTTAAAGAAATTATGAATTTTATCAAAAGAACCTTGGTTATTCCAAAATTGCCTCTAAAAGAATGGCTCTGATTTTAATTAAACGAATACATTTTATGAACCAATGTAATGAAAATACCACGATATTCTGAACTGTGGAGAAATACACGGGGTGGCAGAAATACTCTGCACATAATGGTAAGAGGTATTTCTTGGGACGGGAGGGATATGTGGGAGGTATTTCTTGGGGCGGGGAGGGGGTGGATATGTGGGAGGTATTTTTGCCGCATCCTGTATTAGTTTTATTGTCCCGCAAACGTCACTTATTTTTCGTAAGATTTAGCTCTGGGATGATTTTACTCTGTTTTGTTTTTTTGTTTTTTGTGCAAGAAAAAATTTATTAATTCACAATAAATAAATAAAAATCTTTATTTTCAAAAGCCAATATTGACATTTATATTCGAAAAATATAAGAACTACTGCTTTTTGAGTCGGAATGGGGACAATATTCCTATCTGCGTAGGTCTGATTTCTTTCCTTGAAAATCAGTATTGTACAAAATCCTGGATGGATAAGAACACACTGAGATAGATAGATAGATAGATAGATAGATAGATAGAGCTGCTATTTTGTCGAACAAACTCCCGAGCGAGGGCTTCCTCGTTCACTATAATCTTAATCTCTCCACATCTATGGTTAATGCTTATTTATCCTACATATCCTCATAATCTGCATTTACTTCCTCCTCAATAAAACATCATTATTCGGTAATGTTCTACCTTGAGTGGATCTTGGGCTTTATAATAGTTGGACATTTATTTTTAAAAAAAAGCAGATGGATAGATAAAAAAGAGAGAAAGAACTCAATAAATAAATAATGCAACCGGATCCAAAGCAAGATGTCTGATGATAGTAAATTAGATTGAAGTCCTGTATCCACTTCCTTGGATACGTCCCAATCCTGGAAATTTCCAGGCAGTAAAAGGAGTATTCCGTTTTTGTTTTTATGAATTTAGTGTACAACTTGTTCACTAGTTATAGATTACACAAATAACACAAGCTGATTGTTTCTTCTTCTTAAGTTTTTTTTTTTTTTTTTTTTTTTTACTAAGCATGATTTTCAGCTAGAAGGCTTCTTTTTTTGCGGGGGGTCTTTTTTAACACAAAACTTGTCACCTTGAAAGTTTTCGATCGTGTAATTTTGTTTTTAATGAGTAGAAGATAAATAATGTAGATTCCAAACAATTTAATTTTGTTTAATTAAGGATTATCCAATTAACTCCGACTCTGAGACGAGATGAGCCGAATCGTGCTGAACCTCGTATCTGCTAATGGGATTTCCGTCCCGGGTCTAGGGGTGGTATTTATTCATTTATTAGCTATCGTTCTCTCGGCGTTATGCCCGTTTTTCTTAGTCTCAATTTTCTTGTCTTTCTCCATCTCACTGAAGAGACGGGCGTCCGTGCTCCAGGAGACCAGGACTGTCCCATACCCAAGAAAAATTAGAGAGAGAGAGAAAGTGTGAGAGAAAGAGAGCGAGAGAGAGAGAGAGAGAGAATAAGCAGTAGTGTGAGTCCCGGTCGGTGTCTGCCAGACAGCCTTTTCCCCTATTCTTGTACGTTGTGTGAATGGTTGTAACACATCACTGCCCGGATGATGTGGGCGTCGCCACTCACGGTTTGTGCAGAAGATACTAACAGTGCGAATTTTTGTCACAGGACCATATATACGCACGGCTTCGTAACATACCGGACACTACTACAATGGCCCTGGGCACGGACTAAAAGCAGGCCAACAGTACAATACTGAACCCTACTATGAAACACTTCTTAAGGAGACTATAATCTTTACAATGTATTCTCACTGATTCTACCTTACCTTGGCTAAAAGTACGTACCATGAAAACGGTAAGAAAACTAGTTCCCTTTATAACGCTTTGCTGTTATTTCTTACAACTCCTTTAGAAACAAAATTTTCCTACTCCGTGTTTTTATTTATTTTTTTCCTTTACTCTTTTTAGTTAAGAGCCTGTTAAGCAAACGTGTGTATATATATATATATATATATATATATATATATATGCTATCATAAAAATAATAAAAACTGTTTTGTTAAAAAAAAAAAAGAAGAATTCCTGAGTATAGTATTCTTGTGTTAAAGTTAAACATATTTTCTTTTTGTCTACGATTAAATAATGGGTAAATAAGACTTTCTTCGCGTTGTATGTTGTAATTTTAACACCTACCCAACAAATAAAAATTTTTCCGTCAAGCAGAATTTTACAAAATTTAATTTTTGTTAAGTGTAAGTAATTTTTCTTTTATAGTTTTTTTTTTTTCATATTTGCAATTCTCTTAAAAACCATACCACCGCCAACAGTTGGTTTGTTCGGGCGTTATTTTATTTTCTCTAGTTTTAAAAATGTGGATAGTCGATTTTTATTATTTTTCAACGTTCCATTTACTGATATTTTAAATATTAAAAACATTTTGTTTTCATTTTAAAACATGAAAAATCCTTTTCATATCACTTAAATTGTCCATTTGTTACACAACCTTTTAGCATACCTGAACGGTAAAACAGTTATTCGGACTTTTTTTTTTTTTTTTTAAAGCAATTAAAAAAAAAATGAACGTGGTTACATAGGGATCATAAAAAAATTAATAAAGGAAATACATTAATCGTTTAAGAGCTAGGAAGTAGAACTGGAGTGGAGAGATAAGATAAGAATTTAATTGCTTATCGGGCTTGTGAATCTGTTAACCCCGGATGACACAAGAATTAAATTTATTTCAGCCACTGCAACTTAACTATTACTTTTTTTAAAAGACATTATTATTAATATTTGAAAACAGGAGCAACTGTTTGCATATTTTAAAAAATATGTCGACTAAAATGTAAATAAAAGAACCATAAGATAAAAAAAAAAATGATTATTAACATGGCTATTATTGCTGATAGTATTATAAATTCGGTCACTTGATGATATGTGGAAAATTTAATAGTCCAAGAGTAAAGATTTCTTTTTAGATGAAACATTGTTTTGTTAAAACATTAATAATCGCCAAAAAACAAGTAAATAATTCTCCGCTTTTATAGGAGCCTGGACATTCTGGGTTTATTAAGATTGGTCGAAGATCTTTCCAATATTCACGGCGAATATATGTGATATATTCAACCGACTCAAAGAAATTAACAAGACAGGCACAAACATTTAATTCTGAATGCTCCCGAATAATTTTTACATACCTTTTTAACAAAACATTTTCTTGTCTATTTAGAGAAGTTATATTTTTAATCTATCTTGTACGCACTATTCTCATTTTTATGAGTCACACAGTTTTTAATAATAAAAAAATGTCTTAAAATACCTGGTAACATAGTGGATAACACATTGGCGGACAGTTTCGATCTCGAGATATTGTTATTGGCATATTTTGTATAAAAATCTGTGAAACTACTGTACACTTAGTGTTCCTGCTCCTACTACAAGAAAAAAATCTTTGCTCTATTTTAAACTGTAGAATAAAAAAAAAAAAACGAAATAATTCCCTTCTGCCTCAAGAAGCGAGCTGAGGTTTACGGGCGTTTCTGGTTGAAAATTTTCGTTCGCACACACATACACACTTGTGTGGTTGCAAATTAAAAACTCCATCTCGAATTCTAATTCACTGCTAATGCTCTAACAATCTTCAACGTAAGGTTCTCATACGGCTTCTTCCGAATAATCATTGTGTAACTATCCTTTTTTTACCATAGTCTGGTAAAAGAAACCTGGTACACAGTAAAAACTCGTAATTTTTATATGATCCGGCAAATGGATAGCGTTAACCTTGCGCTACAGTAGGCCTCAAAGGTCTACTTAAATTCCCCACAAAACAAGCGAACCAGATGGTCTTCTTTTATTTATTTACGATACATTTTGGAGGTTGCAGAATTTGGGCTGAATACGCAGCTTGTTTTAGTGTGTGTGTATGTATATATATATATATATATATATATATATATATATATATATATATATACACAAACACTCAGAGCAAATACTTAAGTGGAATTTATTCTGAAGATCGAGAGACCAGATAAGTGCGAGCAGTCTATATGTGTAACGTACGAATATAACCGCCGAGAACGTGTCAACATTTCGTCAAGTAACCAATAACCCTCCTAACACTTTTTTTTAATTATTATTATTGACCTTATCATACCGTCAATTCGCAGAGCGTTTTATTCTCAGTCTTTAAAAATATATATTGCTATATAGTGGTGAAAAAGTGTAACAAAAAAAGTTAATATTTACAAAAACATCTAACATTATTAAGAGCTTTTGGGGTCAGTGTACACAGATAATGGTATATAATTCCAATATGAAAAAAAAAAAAAAACCATAATATAGAAAGCCATCGAACCAGCAACAGTGGTAATATAGTCTGAGATAAGCTTGTTAATTATTTTTTACGATGAGTAGCTTTCTTAGCAGAGTCTGGCACAAGGCTACAATGAAGCCCGAACTCACGGTGATGGTCTGTAAGGCTAGCTTATTAATAGCGACTGTTTCAAGTCTGTTGAATAAGGGAGAAATAATTTTATAATTTGTTCTACGTCTTGTCGTGGTGTTAAGCGCATGTTTACATGACCTGAAGTTTATTATTTATTTATATACAAATGTCGACAAACAAAACACTTAAGCCAGCCTATTAGCATAATAATGGAAGAAAATAATTAAAAAAATATAATTTTGCCCATAACGGTTCTCCATTAATAACGGAAATTGGGCATTATACAATGACAACTTCAGCTCAAAGTTTGACTCATAATTGTGTCAAGCTACAGAATTAGTCAGATATATAATATATATTTTATTTATTTATTTTTCTTATGTGAGTATTTTCTGTGTATTATTGTTGGTGGTGAGGGATCATTAGGATTCGACTCTAAAGGGTTCACGTAGGACTTCAGGAGGGGTGCTCGGCTCGATGGCAACACAACACTTGTCAAATCGATGTAATATTGTTAATGAAATTAATAAAGCATCCAAATTAGAATCCCTATCAGAGCGGAATCAGGTCTCGTAGCTCATTAACGAAACTGTTCGATTCACCTTCATGCTCAACCTTGTGCCATACTAAGTTAAATTTGAGAATTCGGGTCTGCCTGGTGGGGTGGGGTCTTAAACAGTTCGGCAGTTTTATTTTTAAATCCCAAGCAAAAGCTTAGAATTTTGATCGTAAATTTTTCTTCCTTATTTTTCCCCCTTTAAGTAGAGGTCCTTTCAGTTTGAAAAATTGGTACAGAACAATTTTATTGCCCTTGTTTTAGATGTTATGCTGCTAAAAAAACTGAAATAACGCGTGTTTTGATGTTTGTACGTAATCTCTACATACATACGCGTTTGTGTAATATATGTGTGTATGTCTATGTATATATAAATAAAAAATTCAAATTCGCTTGAGGATGAAATGGAACTAATGTCTTTAATTTAATTACAAAATTCGAAGCTTTTAGCTTCCATTTTTGAAACATGGTTAGAACTGTGTAGCGAAAAAAAACTATATTTTTAAATATATATATATATATATATATATATATATATATATATATATATATATATATATAATGGATCAAAGGAAGTAATTAAAAGCAACAGAATTGAAGTTTGTTATCGTTTTATCCCTTGCTTTGACCATTTACTTTTTGCAATTCTATTTATAGATTCTTACATGAGGGGGTGCTGAAAACTCGGCTGATTCATTTCCTAAAATCTGAAGAGTCTTCAGAATTTCGAACGGAATAATTCTCGATCAGGCCGCAAACATTTCAGCAGTTTCCTTAAAAATATGTATTCTTGTATTTACTTCAGTTTTCTCTGTCGTCGAGAAATTTAATTTAATTTTGCCCCCCACCCTCGCGAAAGCTGGTGTAAATCACTAAAAGTAGGGGTTGGGGGAATTTTTGCTACTGTAGCAAAAAGAAAAAAAGCTGACTGACTGTTCTCACACGAACCTTGATAATTTGGGACGCTAAACTACAAGATCTTTTAAAGGGCCACAAGGTAACAGTAGGCTCCGGGACTGGAACAGCCTAATGGCCCTTACCCAGCTAGATCTCATTTTTTTCCCTCTTTATAAAAAGTTATTGGTTTTTCACCGTATACGCTGATGGAAGACGTCATCTAATTTATATTTCAATTTCACTTATTATTCTTTTCTCTCAATCTGTCATCTGATATTGGTAGAAGTGTTATGTATATATAATTAAGCAGCAAGTATTCATCCAAACAAGTTTGATCTTGTCAGTTCTTTTTTAATCAAACTTGTTTGGAGAGGTAGGTATATATGTGTGTGTTGGCGAGCGAGCGTATACATGCTTTTCATTCGCAAATGCACGAACTTCTGTAAATACACTTATAAATGCTGTGTGATTTCTTTAATTTTTTTTTTAACTTTCTTGCACTGGTAACGTCAAGTGACAGTGTCTTTATAACAATGGTGGACTGTTAAAAATGTTCAAGAAGCAGAGACGGACAAAGGCAGTCTTCGTGAAATATCAGTAATAATAACTGGAAAAGAAAAATTAAATTAATGTAAAGACATTAATGTTTGAACAGACTATACAAGATTCTAGTGAACATAAAATGAGAGATTCGTTTTATTATGAAATAATGTTCCCTCGCTATTATAACGTAAGTATACCAAATTATTAGAATTAGCAAAACTTAAAGACTAAATAAAACGTTATTTTTGACAA